GCACCACTCCCGGCCTGAAAAAAATGCAAAACGGATCGGATCACTTCCAGACAGTCGCGCGATGTAGACAGATGTACAGATAGACAGATGGACCAGTTAACATGGACCAACAATCTCACCAGTGTTGAAGGATAACCACGGTTGCCTTTTTTGCAATACATGCGTTCCTGTCTTCCGTCTTTGAATTATTGCAAGTGCGAACTGAGCAAAACAAAATCCTTACTGTACGGGAGAAACCGTACTACCATTCAGCCCCGTAAGATTCTTTCCATAGGGGAAACTTTGGTCGCTCTGCGGGACGGGATAAAATTATCCGATCGGAATAAAATTTTGCACACATCCTTGTGTCATAGTATCGACAAGATTTCCGACCCGGCCCGACGAATCCGACAAACTTTTCCAAAATGGACCACCCTAGTGTACGCCTGCAAGTATTTTTTTGGTTAATATATTTTGTTAAGTCCACTCTGTTCCTCCTGCCTCCCTGCTTTTTGGGTCCTCTACCATCACGCAAAACGTGACACAAATAGCTCCAAAATGTGCCCCAATTGCCATGAACTTGTCAATCATCTTTTTTTTTAGTTATTTTATCATTGTATTTAAGCACAGTGTTTCATTGGCTTTTGTTTCTGAAGTGCACTAGAAACAGGACAGAGTTGAGGTAATCATCAATCAGACTCGACAGACAAGAAAAGTGGGGCTGTGCTGTGTGTGGTGCCCAACTGTGAGCGCTGATAACACTAAACATACCATCCATCCGCAAACAGCTCATACATCAACTCGTCAAGGGATTTAAATGAAATCTTTGGTTACGCTATGTAAATGTTCATCAAAGTATGTTCATTGTTGCCCATTGTTTGTGGGTCATGTGGGCTGCCACGGCGCACTGTAGCAATGAACCTGCTGTCAATCAAGTAGAGGCGCAAAATCTCACAGTCAACAAGCTTGAATTTAATGCGCCACGATTGCTTCCTGCATGGTGGCAAAAATGAGCCCTCAACAAAAGCAGGAGGTTGGCGGGCAGTGGAATTCCAAAACGCTCTCACACATCATCGGTTGTTTGATGAAATTCTTCATGTTATGTAAAAAACCATTCAGCACGAAACCAGAGGACGCTATTTGAAGAGGACGCAATGCTCTGTCATTTGTACAACCTTCGTCATGGGATTTATGGCAGTCATGCGGTTAGCTAGCATCACCATTTCGGCCTGTGGAAAGTGGGGGCTTCCTTGCGCAACCCGACCCCGGATAAGCGGAAGAAATAAGATGGAGAGATGATCAGTTAATTCACAGACATTCATTATTCATCATAGCGTAGAGAAGTAACTTGAGCAAAATTGTTATTTCAGAAGTGTGTATAAAACTAGTAGTTTTTTCTCATGTCCCTTCCACTCATGTACACAGCCTCGATTTTATTTATGTTTGTTTATTAATTTATTTGAGGGAGTATATGTATTTTATATGAGAAATTACAATGGAACTTGTATTATGAGGTTTGTATCGAAAAGAATCCCTATGAATGGCAAATTTATGAATGCAAATTGGTTCAGAGATTCTGACAAACTCGGTGATAATATGGCGCCCGTGCGTGGTATGACCTAGACTTTACTTGCGTGCACAGAGACAGAGGCAAAACATTCAGATGCCATGTCAACGAGCTCTCAAGATGCTGGAAGATTGCGCCCCACCTTGGTCCTGCCTATCGCACTGACGAAAGGTTACTGCGCTTGTTGAACGAGCGTCAACGGGTAAAAAAATAAATCACAAAAAACAAACGACCGAGCCTTCTGAAATAACTCATCACTCGGAAAGATCCTTTCTCATGAATATTTTAATATAATGTTTTTGTCTTTAAAATTCAAGTGTGAAGTAAACTTGGCCGACCATATTGTGAGTAATACTAAAAGTATTTTAAGCTTCCTTTTGTTCGTTTTTTTGAGGCAATCCACCCAAGGGTCATAATTCTAAACAGAAAAATGCTTTTGTTCAGCAATCTCTGACGAGTACGTCATTTACAGAATGACGAGTCTTTGGGCAGTAGGCGGGGGACACCCTGAACTGGTTGCCAGCCAATCGCAGGGCACACAGAGACCAATAACCATCCACGCTGACACTCACACCTTGGGACAATTTGGAGTGTTCAATCAGCCTACCATGCATGTTTTTGGAATGTGGGAGGAAACCGGAGTACCTGGAGAAAACCCACGCAGGCCCGGCTAGGGAGAACATGCAAACCCCACACAGGGAGGCCGGAGCTGGAATTGAACCCGGTATCTCTGCACTGCGAGGTCGACGCGCTAATAACTGGACCACTGGTCCGCCTTTAGCCGAAAATCATTCGAGTCATTATTATGGTGATGATTATTATCATTCAAAGAGACTTAAACAGAGTGGAGCAAAACTCAACCACGAACTTCCCAATTAAAAGTCGCTCACGACCATCCCGCCAGGGGGAAAAAAAAATTACTGTTTAAAATGATTGTATTTTGGTGCATCTTTGTCGTTGTGTGGTTAAACCAGTGGTTCTGAACCTGGGTGCGGTGAGTCGGTCTCAGGGGTGAGACGGAGCCTCTGCCAAGGAGGGTAAGACACACGCGACTCAACATGTTAATTCGTTATGACACACCCGCTTGGCCATCACTGGCTGCAGATGATCACATTACATTGCTTGTCCAATCAGTGCTGTGGGAAATTTAGTTCGCTTCGTAGTCAATGTGTGACTGTCGTGATCATGCGTCATACTATTTTGAAAAAAAAAAAAGTATACTTTTATTCATTCATTCATTTTCCGAATCACTTGATCCTCACTAGGGGGGCGGGGGGGTGCTGGAGGCTATCCCAGCCGTGTTTGGGCAGTAAGCGGGGAACACCCTGAACCGGTTGCCAGCTAATCGTAGGGCACAAAGAAACGAACAACCATTCGCGCCCACACTCACACCCTGGGACAATTTTGAGTGTTAAATCAGCCTGCCATGCATGTTTTTGGAATGTGGGCGGAAACCGGAGTACCCGGAGAAAACCGACACAAGCACGGGGAGAACATGCAAACGCCACACAGGAAGGCCAGACCTGGAATTGAACCCAGTATCTGCACTGTGAAGTCAACATGCTAACCACTCGACTACCGGCCCACCAAAAGTATACTTATCTCTTGAAATTGTATTTACTTTTATCTGTTTTTAATGTGTTTTTGTTTGACATCTTGAATTTGTAAAATCTATATTTATTTTTCACTCATGAAGGGTTTGGTGAATGTGCATATTAACTGGTTGGGTTCGGTACCTCTAAAAAGGTTAAGAACCGCTGGGTTAAACGCTAGTACAAAAGTTGCCACACCTTGGCCAAGTGAAAATGATGATTGAGGGTGGAACAAATACAAAGCAAGTAAAACATGTTAATTGAGGGTGGAGGGAAAATGCCAAACTGGAAACTAAAATCTTTTTTGTTGGGGCAGCATGCCAAATCTGGAAGGCTGCCAAGCCAGGTGCCTCGGCCTTTTATTGGTCGAAATTTTCCTGGACAGGTCCATGTAGGCTGTGTATATCAGCGTGGGCATGTTCTGCGGCGGGCATTTATTGATGGTGGTGGAGGTTGTCAGGCATCTTTAAGCTTTGTTGTCATGGATATGTCGATACTGACCCTCACCGCGTTGCTACTGTTCGGGATGATCACAGGTCAGACGTTTTTCATTTTTTTGGGGTTGGGATGGGTCAGAAAAGGACTTTTCCACGCCATTCTTCTTTCATGCATAATGGACAGAGTGCACGCGTTCGGATGGGTTGTTCTTAATGAAAAACAGCAAATGATTACTGATGCGAATTATGCTGTGATTGAAGGCAAATAGTCAAGATTGACAGGGAAGCACATTTGACTTTCTGCACCACGGGAGGCTAAATGTTTTGAGTGTGGAGGCACCGTTTTTCGTTGGGTTGACTGAGTCAAGACTCGCAACACACCTTTTCCAATGTGTGGTGCTCGTTTTAAAACAAAGGCTGCGTTTCGTCAAGACGCTGCGTTTACTTGTCAGCAGTCAGCACGACTTGACTGATTGATGAAGGAAACGAATCGGCATGTGCTGCCCATGAAATGTCAACAATTTTGTATGACACTTGGATGTGTTCTTTTTGTCTTTTTCATCTTTAGAATGCGGAGGGCAACCAGGTGAGTCGCAGCCTCGCTTCTTCCCTTCCTTACAACACTTTCCTTCCTCTCTCTCCATCTTTACCTCCCTTACTTGCTGCCTTTTTCACTGCCTCCCTTTCTTCCTCCCGACCTCCTTTTTGTCCTCCCTCATTTTTTCCCTCAGTCCTTTCTTTCCTTCGCCCTTCATTTATTTCTTTGAAAAATATGTTCATGAAAATTATATTCAACCATTTTGTTTTTGAGTTTGTGTCAGAGATTTTCACTCGGACAGTTGACAAAGGCTTGACGCAGGAACAGATCGACTTTCGCTGCCGGCAGGAGGTGCAGTTCTCCATGAAGCCACTCAGTGTGCGCTTCCCACTGTCACCCGACCTCTGCAACCTCTGCCGGCCCTTTTATTGACTGTATATGCAAATTACAAGGAATATATCAGAAAAACACTCCCATCGTCATTAACATGACACACCTCTGGACGGCCCCATTGGGTCGCCCCTCAGACAAAGCATTCTCTTGGTACCAGCACGAACATCCAAAAACTAACAGACACGTGTACATTTTAACGAGCAGTGTCTCCTTGAATTGATATGTCTGTAATTCTGGCTCGTCACCCTTTCTCATGATGGAGTGTTTGAGTACTCCCTTCCGTCCAAGGTTAAATCTTTCTTTCCAAGTTTGTCAGATAACAGGCACCAGTGTGTCTACTAATGATGTAGTCAGGTACCATCTGCTCGGGTCCCTTGATCGCTCTATGCTTTCATTGTGTGCAAGATGCTCTGAACACAAGCATTTCGAGGTCAATCAAGCATGTAACAAGATGAAACTTTAAAACATGACAACATTGTCTTTTTCTATTCTAACAGTTTGTTTTTTTTTTCATTTGTCAAGTCATTTATATCAGCGGTCCCCAACTCCCGGCTCACGGACAGGTACCGGTCCGTGGGTCATTTGGTACCGAGCCACACAGAAAGAATAAATAACACTTCCATTTTATTCATTTTGGAATCTGTATAATTTTGAAAAATTACTGGATTCTCTATTACATCCGTCTGCAGTATGTCACTCTTGACGCAGGTCAAGGCACGCTTCTCCGTCACGTGATAGGTTGCGCTAAAATGAAACGCAGGAGCAAGCAAAATGAGTAAAAAAACGAAACGTCTTTGGAAAGCTTCTTTGGGAAGGGGGCCAAGCCAGAGCCAGAAGAGGAGCCTACGACTTTCAAGAAAAATAACTCTCCATTTAATAAGACAGTATCAGGAGTCCTACTTAAGATACGGATTTATCTCACTCTGCATAACATGCAAAGGTGAGTGATATTCGTCATGCACTTTGTATTTGCGGTGTATCTTATTTTGAAGGCACGTTTAAACGTTAGCATATCGATCAGAGAATGTTACGGCCAGATACGACGTTCCTCAATACATGATTCTTGTTTGTTATGTTTAGCAACTACCACAGATTTCGTGCAGGTCATATCATATTATTTTGTAGTCGTTATCCGCCACACCTTAAAGGCCGATCCGAGAAAATATTGTTTGATATTAAACCGGTCCATGGGGCAGAAAAGGTTGGGGACCGCTGATTTAGATGGTGGATTATGTATTTCACTGTGTGAGGTTTACAGCTTTGTGGCCCACATCAATATGTGTGTGTGTTTTCAGAGTGCGGTCAAGCCCCTCTCAACAATGGCAATCCGGGGGCCACCCCAGGTGCGTGGCCCTGGCAGGTCAGCCTGCACAGGTCTGGGGGCCACTTCTGCTCGGGGTTGCTCATCACCGACGAGTGGGTGCTGTCAGCCGCGCACTGCTTTAGCACGTCACGCACACACACACACACACACACACACACACACACACACACACACACACACACACACACACACACACACAAAAGCAACCCAACCCCAAATTTGCGTTGGACTTGTAATGAGTTTCAATTCGCCAAAAGTGGCGGTTGGCAAGAAATGTTCAGTTGCATTACCACTACCTACTGGTAAAGTGTGTGTGTGTGTGTTTGCAGACCTGGAAATGTGACAGCGTTTGTGGGGCGTCACAGCCAGACGGGTTCAAACCCAAACGAGCAAACCCGCAGTGTCAGTCTCAACATCTCCCATCCTGCCTACAACTCGGACACCTTTGACAACGATGTGGCGCTGTTGAAGCTTTCCTCGCCCGTGACCTTCGACTACATCAGGCCGATATGCCTTGCCGCTGACGGAAGCACTTTCTTCCACGGAACCGAGAGCTTCTACATCGGTTCAACCTAATTGGTTTTTTTTTTTTTGGGTTTTTTTTTTTTTTTTTTTTTTTTTTGGGGGGCGGGTTTTTTTTTAACCCCCTTTTTTTTAGGAGGAGCTGGTTTGTTTGTAACACGCTGTTGGTGTTGTTGTGCGCAGTTCCTTTACCGCCTTCCGGATCCCTGACGGAGGTGGAGGCTCCCGTTGTAGGAAACCGCCAGTGCGATTGCGACCGCACGCAGATCACGATCACAGACAACATGATTTGTGCTGGCCTGATGGCGAGAGGAGAAGACGCCTGTCAGGTGACTTTGCGTTTTTCATTCTGTTCATGACACCCAAAAGGTACAGTGCATTTGCAGCCCCCAACCTTTTTTGCCCCACAGACCGGTTTAATGTCAGACAATGTTTTCAGGGACCGGCCTTTAAGGTGTGGTGGAAAAATACAACAAAATAATATATGACCTGCATGAAAAACTGTGCTATTTTCTAAATAATGAACAAGAATCATGACATGAAGAGCGTCGTCGTCTTTTGCCCAATTTGATCAAAAATAGAATCATTGAATGTTGAATGCAAACCTCGTCATTTTATGAAGTTCCGCTTCACGGGGTGGCGTCATGACATAGCGTGCTGTTTGGTTCGGGTTAATGGAAATTGAAAAACCAAACCTAAAAACCTTTGGAGTATTCAAGTACTGTATCTGGCAGCGCAAACAAGATTTTGTCATGGTTTCAGTCAAAGTCAGCGGGAGTCAATCATTTTTCTGCCACTCAAGAGTCCGTCTTCTATTTTTTACAAACATTACAAAATAGTGACTATTGACATCCAATTTCTACCCCCAATTTGTGCCTGTCACTGATGTCACAAGTTCAGGTGGATCCACTAACTAGGTGACCATGATGTTCCACAGGGTAATAGTGGCGGTCCCCTGTTAAGCAAACAAGGGTCCACGTGGGTCCTGAGTGGGTTGCTGAGTTTCGGATTTGACTGCGCCAATCCGGAGATTCCAGGTGTCTTCACGCGGGTGTCGCGTTACCAGGCTTGGATCAGCAGCCACACGGGCAATAGCAACAGCTTGCCAGGCTTCGTCAGCTTCATGTCCGTGGGCACTGATCCAGACTTGCAGGTTAGCTGTAACGCTAACCTGGCCCTCCCCATCGCCAACTCGCTCAACCCGACGCCGACCCCTCAAATTTGCCCCTTAATCACATGTCCCCGAATCGTGTGCCCCACTTGCTTTTGCCCCACTTGGCCCACCAGCACCAGCCTGGGACAAAATGGTGAGCCGCAGGCTTTCTTTCTCCCACCTTGCCTTTCTTCTGAGCTTTGAGTTCAAACGGTTGTCCAATCACGTGTGTGTGTGTGTGTTTTTTCAGTGTGCGGGGTGGCCCCGCTCAACAATCACATCTTTGGAGGGCAAACGGCCTCCCCTGGTGCTTGGCCCTGGCAGGTGAGCCTGCACATTCTCGGGTCGCACTTCTGCGGGGGGACACTCATCAACAGCATGTGGGTGCTGTCGACCGCACACTGCTTTTTCAGGTACACATACACGTACAGACACAAGAATTGCTCCATCCTACCAATGTTTGTTTTTCCATTTCCATACACAGACTAAATATTTTGAATCTTGAACAATAACACAAATTGACCACATAAAGTCACAATGCAAATGGATGACGAGAATAGGAAGTCCTGGCGTGTGTGTGTGTGTGTGTGTGTGTGTGTGTGTGTGTGTGTGTGTGTGTGTGTGTAGGCGTTTATCCGTGACAGCGTTTATGGGTCGTCAGAGCCAGCTGGGTCTCAATCCTAACGAGGTCAGCCGCCTTGTGGTGCAAACCATCATCCATCCTGCCTACAACCCACTGACCAAGGACAACGATGTGGCATTATTGAGGCTGTCCCATCCCGTGCCCTTCAACAACTTCATCAGGCCCATCTGCCTGGCCGCCAGCGGAAGCACCTTCTTCACCAGAACCGAGAGCTGGGTCACCGGCTGGGGGACCATCGGCCAGGGAGGTCAGTCAGCACTACTAGTTGGCCTCTATGTTTTACTCGCGGCAAGTCACTTTAAAATTCATTGAAAACTGAACATTGTCTGTGATGTTTCGAAAAACAAGTGACTTTTTGCAGACTTTAATTTTCTTCGATCCTTTCAAAATCCAAAATACAAGTACCGGTATAATAGTTTTTTTTTTTTCTGAAGACTTGAATGGTCTTTATTTCAAAAGGTACGGTAGGTTTGTTGAAACTGTCGTCAAGGTTTATGGGAAACATTGACCGTGTTAGCCACAAGTGCCTGCCGTTAGCTGACACGTGAATTGAATACAAAATATAAAAGCTCTGTTGAGAATTGTTGTCGACCTACTCCCAAAACATCTGTTCACTGTACTTTCCCCTGGATGAAAAATACGCTTTTGACCTATCTGATGCATCTACACCATAAAGAAAAAGACTGCTTAAAAATCTACAATGCAACGGGGACACTGTACGCCCAACTTGCCTGTTCATGACACACTTCTGGTGTTGCTGTTTGTGTGCAGTTCCTCGACCGCCACCACAGAACCTGATGGAAGTTCAGGTTCCTGTGGTCGGGAACCGCCGATGCGATTGCCAATATGGCGGAGGAGTCATCACCAACAACATGATTTGTGCCGGCCGGAGTTGGGGTGGACAGGACGCCTGTCAGGTGACAAATCAATTCACATGCACATATAGTATCAGTAATACATCAGTAAATACCTAAAGGAACCCGTGGTACATATTTTAAGGTTTGGTCTCCATTTGTATTATCAGTGAGAACTG